AGAACGCATCCGGTCTGGAATGCCAGGAACCCGAGGAGGAAGGGCTGGGCTTTGGCTTCCCGTTGCTGCCAGCGCTAGACCCCCAGAGGGAGCATGATCTTTATCGCAGCTTTGAGGCCGAGTATCTTGCCAATACACAGCAGGCTAGAGCAGTGTCTAATAAAGCTCCTGGTGGAATCACCTTGCAGCGAGCTGGGATGCATCCGGCAGCAGTACTCACTGATCTTAATGTCAATGACTCTGCCTATTCCTCTTCCAACTCATCCACCTCCTCCTTGAATGTGGGGGCCAAGATGGGAACTCTTCCTGACCTCAGGGAATCCAAGAGAACTAACCCTCGTCACTTCCCACTGGAGGGCTCCTTAAATTTACTTTCTGGACACAATTTTGGGGGACCACACAACTTTAGTCAAGGAGAGCCTGAACACTGGGGGGAGTGTGGAGGGGGTCACAAGAAGCTCCCAGCTATCTCCAGCTCCATGGAAGAGAGAGAAATCACTTCTTCCTTGACTGGACTTCAAGACACAGAGTCAGATAGTTTGATGAATGACATTTCCTCGCAACCTGCTTTTCAATGTGGGAATATGAATGGAGAACATGGATGTTCTCCTCCTGAAGGGGGGATGATAGATCAACAGGGTCCTCTTGGCTGGAGCACACAGCCTGAAGGAGATGTTCCACTGGAAAATCACCAGCCAGACTTACCTTATGACATGGAAAATGGTGACGGGAGTGTTGACCTCCCAGCCTCTGAGGATTGTCCATCATCTCTTCCCCTTCCCCTCTCTGAGGACTGCTCCTTCCAGGATTCCTCAAGTGAAAACTCTTCCATGTGCTTCAGCTTGAGCGAATCCCGCTCCGAGTCACCTCCACCAAATTTGCCCTTGACTAACGGGGACGCTGATGGAGAAATGATGGAGGCTAAGAAAGGGCCAAAGAGAGCAAACAGGCTTGACCCAATCCCTAAGCACAAACTGGGGACCCGATTCAGGCCCCGCACTGACAACAGGCCCGAAAACGGCCCCTCGCGCATACCCACCCCCGTCAGCTACAGAGACCTGCAGGCGAACAACACTCTTTCCCCCTGCCACACCCCACCGCTGTCTCCTCAGAGCTCCCATCCTACCAGTTGCCAAGCCACATGCAAGGGCCTGCACCAGGCCTTCGCTGATATGATCCATCCTCATCCTCGTTCCTCAGCCATGGGCAACAAAGACTGCGCCTACCCTACACAGTCAGGCAGCGTGGACACTGAAGCTTGGATGTAGCACAAAACGAAACTGTGGGTAGTACACGGGAGGGGGGTTGTTGTCATGAACTTTAACTACTGTGTTTAAAAAAGAGAAAAACAAAAAAACCCAACAAGATAAAAATGGGCTACGGACAGACTGTTTTCACTGCATGTCAAATGCTCCTTTTTTTCTCCATTTAGGTTCTCCCCTGAATAACTGCAGGGCTTCACATTGCTTTTTTGCACTCAAGCCAAATTATTTATTACCAAAGGAATGGTCTTTAAGTTACTGTAATTTTTAATTTTAATGTGTGCATGGGGATGCTTTTGCCAATCTTTTTTTTTTTTTTTATATAAGTCACTAGTGAAATTCTCACGGTTGATACACAGAAATAGAAACCGAGAGCATATGTGCTGCCATGTGCCTCACCAAGGGGGCATGGTAAAGTGCCAGGGGTTGATGTAAACACTAGTCCTTGAGTCATGCAGACTGGCTCCCTCTTGTGGTTTGCCATAGCACTTCTGCTTGCCTTATAGTGAAAATACTGGCATGATGACTGTGATGTTTTCAGTCTGTCCACATTCATATATGACTCACTATACTCACATTACAATAATCAGTAACATAGACTAAGGTACACTCATCTCTGGCTCTATGAACATTATGCGCACTACCAGTTTCTGTACAGTTGTTTCATGTTATTATTTAACAATGTCAGCTTTTCATAATAATAAGCTGTTCTAGACAAGATAGATGCTTTTTGTTTGAATGCTTAATGTCTCACCGGTTTTTAAGATTATGTTTAATGCAGTAAAAATTTAAAAAGTTTAATTTAAATGCATTGAGTGTACAACAAAAATATGAGGAGCATGGGGGAAGGTTATACTTTATATAGTTGTCACTGACATTTGAAATGTTGAGTTCCTCCTCTGACCAAACTGTACTCTGGAATTAAATGCTAAAGAGAATGAATGTGTAAATACATGCTGAGAGTGGGTATTTTGTAAAGACAAGGCTTGGAATATACAGTCTAATGTACATATTCACTGTATTCAGTGCTGTGCAGCCTTAGCTATGCAATACTGGTGTTGAAAATGCCTTGAAAATTCCCTTTGCCTTAAACAATTTTTCACAGGTTAATTTTTTTTGAATGTTTTTAGCTAAACATCACTAAAATCTGTTAGGTAACACTACATTGCCATCTTTAACTGTTTATAATAATTGGACAGTTTGGGTGTGAATGTGAAGGAGAAAAAAAACATTACCAGCCAGTTTCATTTATAAGTTATACCTGAGGTGGATGTGCAAATAATGAAAACCATATATATGATGTATTTCTTCTGAATACCCTCGGTTGTTTATCGCCTATTTAACAGATGGATTTCAATAATATGCCGCAATTTATGGTGACATCTAGTGGCAAAAAAAAGAGAGAAATGTTTTATTCAGTGGTAGAAAATGTTGTCTTGATATGATACTGAAATGTCCTGGTGCTGATTAGAGCCAATAATGGTCTGGTATGACATGGTAAGGTTTGATAGATGAAGACTGACTGGCTTTAACTCGAGTGTCTGCATGTGTGCAGGGGTGCATGAATAATGGATACTGTAACTGGAAACTGAGCCTACTTTGTGAAGCTCTCACACAATCGTCATCAATATGACAAGCCAGACTCCAGCTACAGAGCCTGCATTACTAGCTTTTTTGGTATTTTGCATGTGTTGAAGGGTGTAAAGTTGGAAAGCGGTTGTACTGTTTAGTGGGCTGCAGAAACCATAGAATCTCAAGAGCTTCTGAATTTGAGTGAAGGAAAAACTGATATTAATATTTGATGATTGTTTTCCACACAATGTGGAGGCAAAGAAAAGAAAATGTTGATAAAATTGTTTTTGCTGGACACTAACAGAGCATGGCCTGGGAATGGAGAGTGTGTATATCTTTATGTACATACTGTATGGGAATATGTACAGATTTGAAGTAAAGAGGGAAGTAGTGCTGGTCTAATTTATTTATTTATGAAATCAGCTTTCATGGGCTCACATGACATCTGTTTCTCAAGTTCGAGACAACAGACAGAATCAGTGGAAATGTTGTTAGTTAAAAATGAGAGTGATTTGAAGGCAAAGTGAACTTATTTATATGGTGTCCCATCTCTTAAAGATACAGTAATTTTATCATGTGTTGACTCCTCACTGCTACAAATGATTCATGATGTATCAGTATTGTTAGAGCGACATTGATTGCAATATGTAGCCGGTGGGCAGTTTAGCGTGTATAAACACATTACACATGTACTCTTAATTCTTTTTATTTTACATTTGTTTTGGCTTGTTCGAACACCGATTTGGTGTTTTAAATGTACAGGCTAACTGAGCCATGACTTCTACGATCTTAAAACGATTGATTGTCCTAATCCGCTCTTTCTGCCTACAGAGGATTTTATGAAATGCTCATAAACATTTGGATTTTGCCCCAATCAGTAAAATCCGAATGTTTGTGATCAGATGCCATTTTCACTAAAACTTTGGTTAAATGTACAGATTGCTTGACATTGTGGAATTTGTGTGTATGAAATAGCAATACTACAATGTTTCACGTTTTTTTTTCTGAATTTGAAAATGCTGTCAAGTTGTTCTTGTAATAAATCTTTTGCTCTGAAGTTTATGATGATGCTCTGGCCATTTTTTCATGTGTAGCTTTTGGCACAGCAGTAACTGGATTCTCTGTGCTACAGTGCATGTCAGAGAAAAGCAAAGAAGTGCTTCTGTTATTCTTCATGCACAGTGTTACTCACTATATTTTTATACATAATAAATAATTTGTTGCATAAGTAAGACACGACTAAATATGGCAATGCGTCCTGCAGATTTTGCTTCGTGACGTTCAAAATGGAGTTAAAATGCTGCAGTTGTTTCTCCTCACAATGTGCTTGAAATGTTCAATTTTTATTACTATTTATTTGGATAAAATAATTCAGCTAATCCCTACATAGTCTTTTATAATTATAAGTTCAAAAATATTGTAAACTGTTGACATTTTTGTTTTAAACTTTTGTTTTAAACCTTCCAGTGTTTAGTCAGTCTGGAAACTAGAGCCTTAGGAGCTAGAGCCCATCCCAGCTGTCATAGGGCAAGAGGCACAGATAACCATTCACACCAAGAATTTAAAATCACCAGTTAACTTGACATGTCTTTAGAATATGGTACCCAGGGAGAGAATGTAGACCATTCAGAGATGACTGGACAGCAGGACCTTTTTGCTGTCATGCAACGGTGGACCAAAGTGCTATCTTTTTGTAGAAATTAGTATTTGGTGATCCTCATTTAACGCCTTATTTATGCACATAAACACTTGCTATCTCAATACAGTATAAACTGATACACAAAACACTGGCATAATATTATCAGTCGAAAGGTTTAGGCCATAGATTTTATTTATTGTATTTAGGTAGTGTTTTTCTCAACTTCCCAAAAAACTACTCTGTATGTAGATTTAAGTAGCCGGATTGGAGCTAAAAAGAAAAGCGCACAGCGTTGACAGAGTTCCTGAATTTCTTTGTCTCATTATGACCAGCCCTGTATGAATGAGAGCTGACGTTGCCTGCCTGTTGTTATTTTGTTAAAAGACGGAAGTAAATCAAGTAGGAGGGGACGAAGGCCATCACAGTAACTGCTACGCTTGTCACGGTAAGATATTTGTGCTTGCTGAATTCACTGTATGGCGAGTTTAATTTTAACGCCAGAAGGTACGCTAATTCGTTGAGTAAGGTCTTAATTACCCCGACAGATTAAGAGCTTAACTATCCCGGCAAAGGCTTCCTTAAGTCCCTACTTAGAAGGTCATGTCTCAGCTTTGCTAGCCAGAGAAGTGGTCAGGCGCTAGCTGACACTGACAGGCACACTGCACCAGGCTGCTATCCTTTAGCATTAGCTTCATTCATCCACTCTAACTGCTGCAAACATGCAGGAGTGGGCAAATCAGTTATGCGTGAGTAGTGGATTGAAATGCACTTTCAAATGCGCAAATATCGGCTTCAATGTAGCTCATTTTGGGTTAACTACTCAACTACGTGTGCCTTCTTTCGTACAGACTCGAGCCAGCTATGCTAATGCTGTTCTAGCCTAATGCTAGCCAAGTAGAGAACATTTTCTCAACTTTGTGTTTTATCTAGCGGTGTAAGGACAGCTTTTGTTAAATACTTATGTTGTAAGATCAGAAGCTACGTAAGAGTACACGAGAGTTTCGGTGTCAATTTAGGGCGGTAGCAGTGTGCTTTATCGTACAAACGGATCGTAATCGGCTAACGTATTGCTAACTACGTCGACAGTTGGGCTCGGTTTTGGTTAACTTATGGCTAGTTAGCGACTTGTCGGATGTCGACTGGTACCTGAAACCCGGTGCTCTAGTTAATGTGTTTTTCAGTACCATTAATAACAAGTTAACATGTCAGTCTAACAGGATTCATTCATAAATGTAGACGTGTGTTGAAGAGCCTAAAGGGTTATTTTGCGGAATATTGTGAAGGAATTTTCTCTTTCTGTGTTCTACCATTTGACTGAACTGAATATAAGTGGGATTAATGAAATCATTATGGGTTTGTTTATTCACTGCAGCAGTGTTTTTACATATTTGTAACACAGTAATAATAGATATTCAGTGCATAGTCAAGGAAACACTAACTTATTTCCATATCAGAAAGACTTTAAAGAGACAAATTCCACATGTTAGTATGAACAAGCCATATATATGTTAAACATAAACTGCTGTCCAGTTAAGCTACTAGTTGTAGGTGGTTGAGTTTAAATACCTGATGCCAACCTAAACATTGGCCAGTGCTTAAGAAAGGTGAAGGGGATGGTGCAGGCAGGGTGGAATGGGTGTAGTTGAGATGTCAGGGCTGATTAGTGACAGAATACAACAGAAAGAATGTATGGTGGGATTGACAAACAGACAGGAGGCCAAGCTAAAGGTGGCAGAATTAAACGTGTCTTTTCATTTAGATTGACCAGGATGGATAAGATTAGTAAAGAGTACATCAGATGGACAGCTCAGGTCGAGCAGCTTGGAGTCAAAGTTAGAAAGAAGGCTGAGGTGTTGTGGATGCATTGGGAAAAGGATGTTGAATATGAAGCTTCCAGGCAGGATGAACAGACGGAGACTATAGACGAGATTTATGGATGGAGTGTGTGACAGGAGGATACTAGGGATTGGGTGAGATGGAGGCAGATGATCTGTTGTGGAGACCTCCTAAAAACGACCAGCTGTCCATAAGCCAAAAATGTTAAAATTTCATGTAAAAACACAGGCTTTATTTTTCCAATAGTATTTTAATATTTTACAATTTTTTTCTGAAATGTGTCAAGCAGGCATCTTTGTACCTTAAACTTAAAAGAAAAGTAAAAATAAAATGAAATGGTGCCTCGAGGGCAACGGGATGAGGAAGTATAGCTAATGATACCCAGAAGAAAACATTTAATGTTGGCTGACAAGAGTTATTGTTGGCCCCATACATGCTGACCAAGATGATTTTTTTATTTTTTTTTGTAAAGAGAAGATATTAGTGTCTGATTTCTTAACAGAATCCATTGTTTTGATTTCCGATAGATCCCTACCATTTATTCAGGAGAAGACAGGAATTCCTTTTATTTCCCTGTGCTTGCATTTCTAGTATTTCCTGTTGTTCTCGTGATGCTCCAAGTTTCCAGTCAGGAAAAGATTTCGCTATCATCTTTCTCATCCTGTCATTCGTTTGCAGGAGAATCGACAATTTGGATCCAAGATGACGGACTCCAAGTACTTCACCACTACCAAGAAAGGTTTGAAACTTTGTTCTTTAGAAGATTTAACATGGTAAACTCCTTAGTGCAAGATTATAATTATTGTTGTTGGTACCTACACATTATATTTACGCGAGTGCTTTGGGATTTATTGTCATTGTGAGCTGGGTTGTGCCAAATTATTATTTTTACCAAAGGGGACCTAACCTTTTCCCAGGTTGTTAAAGTACTTAATAGATGTTTTTTTTCTCGCTGATAAAAAAAAAAAAGTTCTGTAGATTCCCAGTAAAACGATTTGGCATGTATTTACTAACTTCAAGTCTATGAAACCAAGCACATTTACTTGTTTCAAGAGCAAGCATACTGTGGTATAACTAGGAATGTTACCGAACTATAAGGTAGATTTAAGTAAGGAAAAAACAAACAAAACAAAACAGAAAATGTACCTAAAGATGTCATCTCACGGCTTTGTATCAAAGTTGTTCCCAAGAACAAGAGCTTTGGCTTTTGTATATCAGATAAGACGTAGTGAGAATTAGCTCTCAGTGAGATAACTGCTAGGCCTCCTTGTATTTCAGCAGCTCCCCTCACACAATGTTGCTCTGGGAAAGCCTAGAAGCCCTCTTTGTTCTCTCACACAGGGCTTAAGAAATATAAACAGATGCTAGTAAATGATAGTGTACCAGACTCCTTGGTTTTTAAGGATTACCTGAGACATAAGAACAAGTTTCCTTCAAAATCTTCCCCCCGTTGGAGCTGCCTGATGCTGTGTTGTGCAGTGTGGAGCTCACATGCAAAAGAGACTTTGAGTATTAATTTGCCTGGGAAACACTGAAGTCTGCCGATTCAAATTTAAGCTTATAATTTGCAGTTTGCTTGCAGTGTGTAGTTTGTACCCTAATTAGGCAGCTGAGTTAGACTGCAATAAAAACTAAATTAAACGTGATTCTCAAATTAAAAAAAATAAAAAATTCTGTGTACAATTCACCACAAATAGGCAAACACACTCCTTTTGTGTTTATATTTGACAGACACTGTATACACTCTGCTTTAATAACACTGTTCTTTACTAGCTTTGTGTTTACACAAAGTCCTGCGTTTCCTCATCTCTGCACATGTCTGAAATAAGCTCAATGTAGCACAGATGTGCAGGATGAAAAAGACATGTTTGATATCTTTGTGCGCCCATTGTGCAGATAATGACATTATTGTAACTGTAATGTGGCTGTTGAGTTTAGTATAGTAATGTGATTACAGTGCAATGCTAATTGTAGGGCAACTGTATGAATTGGTTTCGCTAAACTGCTGAAAGGTTTACAGCAGCAACATAAGTGCTTCTGTAAACATTTGCTGATGAACTCATTCACTCTCCAATGAAAAGATTACATTTTAAACTAATTATGGTTTTAGATAATTCAAGGAAATAATTGTTAAGGAAATAGCAACCTCCCAGAAGTATTTAGATGAAAACTACAGGTCTAGGTGTTTATTCTACAACCCACTCCATTGTTCTGTCTGTGGGAGAAAAAGCTCTTGCACCGCGTTCATTATGCTTACAGCTGACAGCCAGTCAGCTTTCTGACAGAGAATTGTAAAATGTCAGCCAGTGTGTCCACTGTCTAGTTTGCACATTTTAATGTTGGCAAAGCACTTTCATCCTATTTGTGTACCAGTTGGATTACGCAATAAGATGTTTCTAATTAAGATGTTTCTAAAAGATGCCCCTCCCCCCACTGGGCTCCCAGGCCTATCAATCACACATTCGCAAAAAGAACAATTTAATTATTGCTAAATACTGTAGTTCATTTAATAATAGTTTATATTTTCTATTATACATCTACACATATCAGAAGAAGGGTGTGCTTGAAGCTTTAAAATAAATTTAGTGGAGTAAAATGGAAGTGCTTTTCAGCCAGTTTGCTTCATAGGTCACTGACCCAAACAGGACTGGTGTTGACCAATCAACTCGCCCAGCATTTTTTTTCTAGCCATGGACATTTATACCATTTCATGTTTTTAATCCTATCTCTGTCTCTTGTGTACAGGGGAGATCTTTGAGCTCAAAGCAGAGCTCAATAGTGATAAGAAAGAGAAGAAGAAGGAGGCTGTAAAGAAGGTCATTGCATCCATGACGGTGGGCAAGGATGTCAGGTGAGTTAGAGGGGAAAATATCAGTGAAAATCATGTCTACAAATGTAGAGTAGAACTGCATACATGAGCTCTCACTGTGAGTCATAAGTTGTATAACAGCTCGTCTCTCCTTCAGTGCTCTGTTCCCAGATGTTGTGAACTGCATGCAGACAGATAACCTGGAACTGAAGAAGCTGGTCTACCTCTACTTGATGAACTACGCAAAAAGCCAGCCAGACATGGCGATCATGGCTGTTAACACCTTTGTGAAGGACTAAAGCTCAGTTTGTCATAAATATGTAGATGCTGTAAGAAATGATCAGCTTTTTAGGTGATCTTCGACTCCTGTTTTTTGTTTTTTTGTTTTTTAAATTAATTAATTGAATTTTGGGACAGAAATATTGTGGACCATTTTACATGGTCAAGGATTTTGATACAAACAAGAGTTGAATCAAATTAAAAAAATGCTTGTGTATTGCAGGATTCTTTAGAAATTAATAAAATATTTGCAACAGAACTTCTGACCTCATTAAATCACCCATTAGGACTGTGAAGACCCCAACCCTCTCATCCGGGCTCTTGCTGTTCGTACCATGGGCTGCATCCGTGTGGACAAGATCACAGAGTACCTCTGTGAGCCTTTGAGAAAATGTCTGAAGGATGAAGACCCATATGTGAGGAAGACGGCTGCTGTTTGTGTAGCAAAGCTTCATGATATCAATGCCCAGTTGGTGGAGGATCAGGGCTTCCTGGACACCCTTAAAGATCTCATCTCTGACTCCAACCCTATGGTACGACTTTTTAACGAAGCCTTTTTAGCTGGCTGTTGAGCCAGCCATGTTTCTTGCATGTGACAGAGCTGCCTACAAGCCATAGCTCTATCGTTCACTGATAAGCCCATTGTTGGCGTGCAGATGTTGAACATGATGTCAGTGATCTCTTTTGTAAGTGGGCATGGTTTTCTTCCTGTTAGCATTTATCTGTGGCTTTTGTCTTCATTTGTAGGTTGTCGCAAATGCAGTAGCAGCGCTGTCTGAGATTGCTGAGTCTCATCCCAATAGTAATCTAATGGACCTGAACCCTCAGACCATAAACAAGTTGCTGACAGCTCTTAATGAGTGCACAGAGTGGGGACAGATATTCATTCTTGACTGTCTGGCCAATTACACACCTCGTGATGACCGGGAGTCCCAAAGGTAAGGAGACGGCTTAGTCCTTGTGCTTGTCATTAAGTTCTATTCACTGTGGATTAGTTTTAATTTTCTGCTCTTCCTTTTCCAACATTAATAACACCTGCTAGCATCTGTGAGCGTGTGACCCCACGGCTCTCGCATGCCAACTCTGCAGTGGTGTTGTCAGCGGTTAAAGTTTTAATGAAGTTCATGGAGATGCTGCCCAAAGACTTGGACTATTATGGCACTTTACTGAAGAAGCTCGCTCCTCCACTGGTTACACTCCTCTCTGCTGAGCCTGAGTTGCAGTATGTGGCGCTGAGAAACATCAATCTCATTGTCCAGAGACGGTAAGCCTGAGGAGAGGGTCTCTTTGCCACGTCTTTAATAAACTGTGATATTTCAGTTAGACTCCTTTTTTTTACTTTGTAAACAAGCAATGTTTAATGTGTCATTGCAGCCCAGAGATCCTGAAGCACGAAATGAAGGTTTTCTTTGTCAAGTACAATGACCCCATCTACGTCAAACTGGAGAAGCTGGACATTATGATTCGTCTAGCATCTCAAGCCAATATTGCTCAGGTAAGAAACCCACATCTATAATGCAACATTATCTAAGGATGCTCCCAAGAATAAATCTATTTAATAGAATCCAGTGAGTGACACACATCTGTCCTGCTGTAGGTGCTGGCAGAGTTGAAGGAATATGCCACTGAGGTGGATGTGGACTTTGTGCGTAAAGCGGTCAGAGCCATTGGCCGCTGTGCCATCAAAGTTGAGGTAAGCGAAGGTGATGTCATCAGACGCTTCATTGGTTAAATATTTGTGTTAGCTACATAGTGAATGCCGAGGTTTGTGTGTTCACTTCGCTGGTAGTTGAAGATCACAGTGCTGTAAATAGTTAATCTACTTGCCACCAACCAGTAAGATGGAGTTTCAAACACAAGGTGGTGCTGTCATCATGGCATTGTTATGTGTTAGTTCCTCAGACAAGTTGAACTACAGCTTATTAATATTTCCATTTTGGGGAAGTATGAGTATCCAGCACAGGATTCAATAGAACCTGTTACCGTTGACATTTAAAATGTGGTTTCATAGTGAAGTGAAATTAATCTTCAGTAAAACCAATGAAATCATTTTCTGCGCACTACACAGATGTTATCTAGCACGGTGCATCAGGAAATATTCATGACGGTTAAAAAAAAAGAAACCCAAAACAAACAAAAAGCAAGTGTTGATGAACCGCTCTGCTGCTTCATGCTGTGCTAGTATGACTTGGAGGAAGTCCTGCTTTAACCACTTGCAGGCTGCAATTTCACCATAGACCCCACACTCTGTATTCTCCTGCTCTCCTCTTTCCTCTATTCTAACCCTTTCTACTCCATTGCTGATTCCACGGCTGTCAACTCGGTTCTGTTAGCACCTCGCACAGAGAGCAAACATCAAATCCTGTGTCAAACTGACTCAACCTTCATGTCAAGGATCATCACTGGTGATGAGAGCTGGGAATCTGGCTGTGACCCAGAGACCGAAGAGCAGTTTTCAGTAGAAGAGCCCCACGCTGTCACAGCCTGAAGGCAGTGCATCAAGTCCAGAGTAGCATGCCAGCATATTAACATTCATAGAGTTGTACACCATGAATTTGTCTCCTGGGATCCAACTGTCAATGCAAAGTTCTGCTAAAATGACCTGAGGTGTCTGAGGGACAATTTTCAGCAGACCCGAGCTGAGCTGTGGTACATAGCATTACTCATGCAATTGTGCACCCACCAACACAGTGACCACCCACTAACCCTAACCCGAAATAAAATCTTCTTTTAAAAAATGTACTGTTTAGACACAGTGGATGAGATCCAGCATGCTAAAAGTTTAGAGTGAGACTTTCAGGGAGTAATACAAAAGTAGCAGGACTGTAGAAAGCGATGTGTCAAGGCTCAAGGAGATGTCCTTCAAGAGAATCTCATCCACATTAAAATCAAGTACAATTTTTTATTTTTTTATTTTATTTTTTTTAACAAGAACACTTACTGAACTACTTAATCTGCACACCAGTCATTTTTTTCTTTCCCTCTCTCTGTTTGTTAGCAATCAGCCGAGCGCTGTGTCAGCACACTGCTAGACCTCATCCAGACTAAGGTCAACTATGTGGTGCAAGAGGCCATTGTGGTCATCAAGGACATCTTCCGCAAGTACCCTAACAAGTAGGTTTCTTCTTGGACATGTTTGTTTTCATATTTTCCACTTTGCTTAAAACTCTCTCTGTGTTTATATGAATAATCCTCACATTTATCAAATGTATGACAAAGACTTATAACCCTTATTTACATATGCTGTTATGCACATGTAGTCACCTCATCATTCATTTCCTCTTGATCTTTAAATAAGCAATGAAAACCTTTTGATCATAAAGACAAAGTGTTTCCCTCTAAAAACCTGCTTGTAGTTGACGGTACTTGATTGTACTTGATTGTACCTGGCTCAAAGGGTATGTTGGTTTGTCTGGAGTCCAACTTTGGCTGTGGATTCAGGGGAGTGCCTACACAGCTGCAAGGCTGTGAGCCTCTAAGGGAGCAGCTTTGCAATGTTTCCAGATCAGCATGCCTTGTGCGTTGAGCGACACGAGTCACTGCCCAGGACAATCTTTGGATTTTCTATTAATTAGGCATTTGTGCTGTAGCATTTTTTTTTTAATGAAAGCAATATGTAAATGGGCTAAATTATTATCAAGCATTTTATGCAGATCAGAAATTCACCAACCACTGCAGAAAACTTCATAGTTTGGCATGTTGCCTGCGAAAGACAAGAAAACCAAACCAGAGCTAAAAGGAGAGTGAATAATACATTTACATTTGTCAGGGTGCCAGAAAACACGACTCCAAAGCAGTGTTAATGTTGTTCGATGTCTGCTGGATATGAAAGTAGGCAGTTATTTGCTACCACGTATTACAAGCCAGACATGTGGTTGTTTGATCAGATTTTATTATAGTTATTTTGGTCAATCTCGGCAACAAACAGATGAATGCTGTTCTAAGAAAATAACTGCAATTTGCATTTTGTCAGTCTTGCGTTTAAGTGTCTCTGAATCTGATGCACTGATGCTTTGTGTCACTGTTTGCAGGTATGAGAGTGTGATTGCCACTCTGTGTGAAAATCTGGACTCTCTGGATGAGCCGGAGGCGCGTGCCGCCATGATCTGGATTGTAGGAGAGTACGCTGAGCGCATCGACAATGCTGATGAGCTGCTGGAGAGCTTTTTGGAGGGTTTCCACGATGAAAGCACTCAGGTATATTTAGGGGGGTGTGGGGAGGTTGTTATTTGAAAAAGTCAATATTTAATGGAAGCTGCAGTAATAATTTGCCATCAGTGCTGGGAGTAACAGATGCGTCCTTTCAAGCAGGAAATCATTAAAACCACTGGTTAGCTGTAGCAAAGGATGAGAAAGCATAAACCATTTTGAAAGTACCAGAGACCTTTTTTTTTCTTTTTAGTGAGCTTGCTCAATGATTAAAATAAGAAAAAATAAAGAAACAGTGGAACAAAATTTCTTGTGACTAACCGTGATTAATGAGAAGGCTTTACAATATTTCAGTGTGTCACTTCTTATATGTGGCTCAGGGGCGTATTTGTTGAAACGCCAGCCTTTACTCTGAAGATCTTTCTGCCACAGCTCACTGTCGGATTACACAGCTTTGCTTGGTGTTAGACTCTCCCTAAGTAATTGATTGATTCCCATATTATTGCCTTGGAAATATATTCCATTTTTATTATTGACTGATGAAGGAAAAAGGACACGTTAAGCACACTTACTCATTGTGTATTCTGTGAACATTACGCAGACCTAACACAAGGGACTGTATTGTCTGAGCTAACCAGTCAGATATTAAACAATTTGTTTTTTGTGCTGTGACAGAAATTTTGGGGCTGCAGTGCATGTGTAAAATAGTCTTAAACTATTTACTGCTAGAAAGGTGTGTCATTTATGTAAAACATATTAAAACCTCACTGCGTGTCTTAAACTGTCGCACAGTGTTAAGGTACATCTTAATGATCATTTATTCACTTGCTTTTAAAAGCAGTGCGTGAGCATTTGTAACACATTTGGTGTTCTCACTGGCCTCTAGGTGCAGTTGCAGCTCCTGACTGCAATCGTCAAATTGTTCCTGAAAAAGCCAACGGAGACCCAAGAGCTGGTGCAGCAGGTGCTAAGCCTAGCCACACAGGTGAGGGGGGGCGGGGGAATAAGCAGTCTACGTCATACATGCTATTTTTCCTGTCAGCGCATCCTTTATTGTCTGCTTTTTGAACTTTGTTGCTTATTTCTTTTTTTCTTTTAGTTGTGTCATTTAAACGTTATTAAAAGGGGCTTCCTATTTCTGTTCCAAAATCCAGACCTTTTATAATCCTCTCACAGATTTACATTTATTCATTTATTTTTATTTTTCCAGTACTTGTGTATACTATTGGCAAACATGCAAAAAAGAAAATGGTAATTTCACCCCTAAGTCCAATTTTTATGCACACAAACATTTTTTTTCTTGTAAAAGGCTAGCAGAAAGCAGCAATGTAGAGACAATGTGCCCTGCAACTTCAAAGAATGAATATATTGGCTATTCACTGAAGTAACTTTTAAGCTTACTTGATTTTCTTAGAACCCTGGGAACTTTGTGCTTTTCTATGCTGAGAAAAAAGTACAGTGTCAGATTGCCTCATACATTATCCAAATCTTACCACTACCCTAAGGCAAACTCCGTTTTTGATATCTTTGTATAACTTCTGGGCCAAGACAGAGTCGAACATTAAGTATTTATTAAACATACAACATAAAGACATTCCTTATGACTCATCCCTTTTTCACAGGACTCTGATAACCCAGATCTAAGAGACCGAGGCTACATCTACTGGCGTCTGCTCTCCACAGACCCTGTGGCTGCCAAAGAGGTGGTTCTGGCTGAGAAGCCGCTGATCTCTGAGGAGACAGATCTGATTGAGCCTACACTGCTGGAGGAACTTATCTGCCACATTGGTACTCTGGCCTCTGTCTACCACAAGCCTCCCAGTGCCTTTGTTGAGGGCAGCCGTGGAGTTCAGCACAAGAGACTCCCTGGCAGTACTGAATCGTGAGTCATAGATTTTAATTATTTTGACACTGCAGGCAGAGGGCTTAGTTTACTTGAGTGGAACTGCCCTTTTAACTATGGTGTTTTGCTTTCAAGAAAATCTGCTGAGTATAACTTGCATATAGTGCCAAGCTGTGGAGCATTTCTTTGTTTGTTCCTTTTTTCGGATGTAATTCATTACATCCATCTACCATTATTCATATGAACTCGAATGAGTTTTATCAGGAAATTAATGACAAATTAGGGGCTTCATAATAACCAAAGTTGTCATAATGCATATGGCTTAAACATCATTCTCTCTCCCCCCCCCCCTTGCTTTTACCAGTGGGGAGAGTGAGAGCCCTGACACAGCTTCTGCTGCTGCAGTTTCTGATGCCCCTCCAGCTGTCATCCCATCCCAGGGAGACCTGCTGGGAGATCTTCTCAATCTCGACCTGACACCTCCCACCACCACTGGACCACCACCACCAGCCTCTAGTGGCATGCAAATGGGTGCTATGGACCTTCTTGGAGGAGGACTTGACAGCCTGGTATGTCTTCTGAACATGATTATTTAAGTGAAATTGAAAGGCTGTTTATTTCACCCAGAGGTTTAACATTAAAGATGCCCAGTAACGATAACAGGGGGCCAAGCAGCCATGTAACATACATACAAGCCGCTTCTGGTAAACAATTGGAGTGAATGTTGGTGCACTAAATGGAGAAGTGTTGACTGATTCTTTCCACAAAGTTTTATGGCTGTGCCTCAACTGTAACCAGTGGGTTGCAGCTGAAGATCCATTTATGCGAAAAACAGTGAATCACTTTGATAAAGCCAAGTTTATCGATGCTCATGGCTACTTTTGACATACTGGATTTTAAGAAGTTTCACAACATTTTTACAGGCCATTTTTTTCCAATTGGGACAGATTCAGGCACATTCTGATTTTTCAAAATCTCAGTGTTTGATATATTGCCACCAGACTTGATGTATGGACTCTCCATGTCATCTGAAAGTTGTCTGACCACTGATAGAACAACACATTAATAACAGGGGGGGAAAATTGACATGATGAGCTCAAGTTGCCATGGCGACTGCTTGGCCTCCCCCTCATCACTGCTTGCAGCTATTGTATCCTTGTATTGTGTCCTTTTCTACCTTTTGGTGCCTTTTTTTTCTTTTTTCTTTTGACTCTTGTATTTATTCCCTTTGTTCAATGCTGCACCTGCAGATGGGGGATGAGTCTGAGCCGGTAACTACGTGGAAGGGGAGGGCTTAACATTTATAAACCATATCAGGCCATTATAGAATATAAAAACAGTTTTATTATGTTGTTGTTGTTGTTTTTTTGTTTTGTTTTGAGAATGTACCTAAATCTCTTCATTCATCATTATCATCTTTATTGTCCTGATATATGTCGTAAACATGATGTCAAATCCTTAAGTCCATCTCTTATCTCTGGGCTCTGTGGTGTCTCATCTTTCAATCAGCCGCCCATTCCCCTGCGGATGGACACTCCTCAGTCACCTCAGCTCCCACATCAATCCCCATCGCCCCCAGATTACAGCCCCACTGAGGTTGGTCCAGGGGACCGTGCTGGACCACTAAAGGCCAGCACCAGTCTTGAACCCTTCTCTTGTCCCCTGTTGTGCCACCGTGTCCCCTCTGAATAGTCATCCCACAGTGATATTAGTCTGTTTGCACTTTGCACTGTCAGTCCCCCCCCACCCCCCACCCACACTCCCTGTAGGTGAGATTTTAATGACTCACACCTGTGTTTTTGGTCAAATTTCTTTCTGTGCACAGTAGTTTAGCTTTGTCACAGTGTGAAGTCGCAATGACAGTACACCTATTTATTGAGCAGCAGTTTAACAAAAAGCTCTTGGATTTCAACAACCAGTAGGCAGAACTTGTGGATGGTAAAAAGTGAAGTACATAAAAGGAGTCTTACTGTTCTTTTATCTCCTTTTTGCTGTTACTTGATATAATGATATAAACCCCATAGCTGTCATCATTCACTGAAAGACATTTTAGACTTCCACCCCCCACCCCTCAATCCACCTCTTTAAACTTGTCAGAAAATAATTTAATACTGCACTAAATAACTTCAATTACTTCTGTGCTTTTTCATTCTGCTCAGCTTGGAGGAGACCTTGGTGGAAGTCCTGCTGTAAGTCATTTTTCCGAATTGTTGTTGGCCTTTGATTGCTTAGTACAAAGTGACATTGAATGTGAACATGTTGCTTTGTAACCCACAGATTGGGGCTGGTTTTGGTGCTCCCCCAGCTGCAATGCCAGCCTCTTTCAGTGCCCCTGTCAGCGGCGGTCTGGATGACCTGTTTGATCTCGGAGGGGGAGTTGGTATGCCTATGGGAGCCTACAGCGCCCCCAAAACTGTAAGTTTATATAAGCTGGGGAAAGATAAAAAAAAAAACAAAAAACAGAAGAGATCCTTCAGAAAATAAATGATCTTGTCTCTGTTAAGGTTTGGCTTCCAGCTTTGAAGGCCAAGGGCTTGGAGATATCAGGCACTTTCGCCCGCCGTTCTGGGGTCATCCAAATGGAGATGACCCTCACCAATAAAGCTATGAGTGTCATGACTGATTTTGCTATACAGTTTAACAGAAACAGGTAAGACCAGCTAATAATCCGTACAGGGTTTTCACAAGATTGAAGCTTGATACTATAGACCTTGAGCAAACCCTGCAATGGATGCTCATGTTTGCCTTTTTCTCTTCTTTGTCTCGCTTAAGCTTTGGTCTCGCTCCAGCTGGTCCACTGCAGGTTCTAACTCCTCTCAGCCCAAACCAGAGTATTGAAGTGACTCTTCCCCTCAATACTGTGGGACCTGTCATGAAGATGGAGCCTCTTAACAACTTGCAGGTATAACCTTCACTTGTGTTCATTTCCCCTGAATTATTTATGGCATTGCTACTTTTTGTTTTGCTTGAAATGACAGTGTTATTCTGTCCTTGCTTCTGTATTCGTTTTCCATGAATCCAAACTTGGCTGAACTTTTCAGCGTCACAGTGTGGCAGTAACATAAGCTATCAAACACATGACTGGTGTCGAGAACAAATCGGAATAAGTGGTTACATATTTCCACTGTTTTTGAATTTTCAACACTTTATCGTCCTGAAATTTGACTTTCTATTATGACACCCATTGCATAGATTCAGTAAGTTTAAATGGATTTGGCATGGTTATTTAAGGTTTTTCATAATTAAACAGAAACATTACTCTGCTTAATCTGTCAAATTCTAAATTAAAGTTCACAAAATTTTAACTTATGAATCATTTAACCTGATATATCCAGTGGACTTCACATTGTCTTTTGAGGCACTGACCCGAAGATATGACCATATGTTCTAACTGATTAGTCAAGCTATACTGCTGAATTCCCACACTGTAAACTGTAATGTGATTAAAGCACAAAAACAGACTTCAGAGCCATAATGATTTGTTGAAAATGTTAAAAAAAACCAAAAAACGGCAGAGCCTGTCTGTTTCTTGATTAGGGCGGCTCTTTTAACTGGCCAGCATGGTGGATGGGTGCTGTGTGCAGCTGGAGAGGGAAGATAAGAGCGCCTTAGGGGGCGATGGAGGTGGGATTGGTCATTAGCGGTCTCACAGCACATGGCTCTTTTGTTTCTCCTGGCCTCAGTAGCCTCGCTAACCTTTCTGCGGTGCTGCCTCACGGCCCCGCTTTGATGGTTACTGTTGTGGGTTTGACATCTCCTGAGATATGTGTTGTATTTTGTTGTGATGAAGGTGTCACATAATATTCTGAGTGCTCTTTTAACTATTTACGTGTCGAAGCAGTTTGTTTCTTACACTCGTACGCTGGCAACATCTGGACACAGCAGTTAACTGAGTCTCATCCAAATAATAATAATGCTGCAGTGGAGACTTTACCTGAAAAATGGCAAGCTACTCCTGCGTCTTTTTGTCCATAAAAGGGGACTTTACAGAGCTGGAAACTATTGTGCTGCCAGTAGATTAACTTGAAGGCCGTGTAATGTAATAATGTGTCAGATACTATTAGACTGGAAGTTTGTTTTTTCTTTATTTCATTTCTCTACAGTAGATGTCAGACCCCCTCATCTTGGGCATCTAACCCTTTTTAATAGACCGCTAGATCACAAATGTTCAGAATGGAGCTTTGTGGTCTTTTTTTTTTTTTTTTTTTTTGTGTGCTGTCCTGTGTTGCACTCAGGAATAAGATGCCCTGTAATGAATAATTCATGAGCCATTCTTCTGCCATGCTCTGTTTGAACTCGCTGTTCTTCTTTCAGCACCTCTTTGTTCAACAGCCCGATCAGTATCACTGGCTGACGCTTGTTACTTCGTGTGCTCGCTTTCAACCACAAGTCGCTAGAGTGTTTCTGTGTCCTGTAGTTTTTCCTTGCATAGACTATGAATTGTCTGTTTAAAGCCTGTGGCCAACACATTTTTTTTTTATAATTTTATATGTGGTTGTTGCTTTGGACAGTTTTCAGATTTTATTTTTAACACTGTCTTCTGTTGTGATCTTTCTCATTTTCATGTTTATTTATATCTTGTTGTAAATCATATTTCAAGGCGGTTTGTAGACTGTTAATTTGATTATATTTAGATCTTTGGTGATAAGGTGAGGGGCCAGTTATGAACACGACTTTTAGTAATGATGTTATAAAGTGGAGTCCAAAAGTTGTTTTTTTTTTCCCTGTATTTCTATGTCCACCTGCCAGTAGTGGGAGTTTGGTGCTTTAGGAAATGTTCAGGTGGATGTGATGTGCTCATTAAAAGTTGAATCAAGTACATAAACTAGCAAATATTCCTTGGTTGCTATAAAAATAGCTCCTTTTCAAGTTTCCAGGCTTGTAGCATTGTGATAGTGAGAAATGTGCCTTCAGAACTAAGTGAAAGTGTCAGAAGTCAATTTGTTATTCTGAGAGATGAGAGGATTTCTCTGTGTCAAGTCATGTCTGAAAGTTTCTGAGGGGGTCGTGCATTACACTACTCTAAAACAGTGCGGAAACTGGATCAGTTTCATCCAAAGCATGGTGAGACGCAGCGTAAGTGAGCACACCATCACAAGATCAACAAATCAAGTTTTTTTTTTTTGTTTTTTTCACTGAGAGGTAGAAAAGCAACTTCAGCACTGATGCAGAATTTCCTGAATAAAGAATAAAAGGCTTGAAAACTTGTGTCAAAACAAGGCTGTCTAGTACTCAGATGTTTTGCAGCTTTAAAACGTTTGTCAGGAAGAAAAACAAAATCAAAACACTCGGTTAGCTTAGAAATAGCAGTGGAAGGAAAAAAATACTATTTGCTATTTACCATTTCCACATTTGTGGCTGTGACAGAGGAGTGTATGTAAAGAGAGAAACCCTGTGGGCTGCATCTGTGTAGTTAAGGATTTGTACTGCTGCAGCCATAACCCACCTTAGATGTTTTCCACAGTGATCTGAAGACCAAGCAACGGTCCCTGTCCTGGACCTTCCTCCTTTGTCATGTTATGTAAACTCCTGAACATTTGCGGGTACTTGAACACTGAGGAAGCGAAGCCTCAGTGTGCTATCAAAAACGACTCTTTGTATCATTGTCAGATCACGCTGGGATAAAATGGTTTATCCGCTTTGAGCAAATGTGTCCATTTCCAAGTGGCTCCAGGGCTGCTGTCATTAAAGTAAAAGGAGGCAAACCAATACGTGGTTATTCTGAAAATTGGAGATGGAGCTTTTCAGTAAAATTGTTAAGCTGGTATTAACATTTTGTAATGAAACATTAAGGATTAAATTTGAATCAAATTCTTAATAGGAGCAGTGGCCTCAGACTGTTGGGCTCCACCGTGTTAATACCGCCGTATTTGTGTTTTTGAATGCACAAGTTATCGTAACAACTTTAGCTGGTTATTTAGTAAACAGTGCACATAAGCAGTAATGGCCATCCTTGGAGGGCACTTGGAATGTAATTACTCATGTAATGCTTCATGCTTGTCCTCCCTTCCCCCTCTTTCGATGTAATCACTCTTGCAGGTGGCTGTTAAGAACAACATTGACGTCTTCTACTTCAGCTGCCAGTACCCCATCAGCATGCTGTTTGTAGAGGACGGGAAGATGGGTGAGTGTTCCTTGGCAAAATCTCTTCACTTAAAAAGGCCGAAGCCCATCTGACGTCAGTGATAGACACGTACGTTAGTGTTTGAGTGAAGGTGACTGTTCGGCGCATGTGAAGCAGTCAGTGACGTAGATGTATGCAAGTGTCCAGCTGCTTGAACTCACTCACATCTCGGGGCTTCACAGCTACTACTCCTCGATTGCACACCAGTGATATTTTCTGCCTCTTTTTTTTCACGTTTTGTTTCTTGATGTCATTTGATTTATTCTGTGAAAACGTGTTGGCATTTCTCCCTGTGGAGCTTTCTGATGGGGCTAGCAGCAGGACTGCAGCCAGAGGCTGAGATTTAATGCTCCAGAGCCTGAACAACAACAGGAAGTCTTGTGCTAAGCTGCTCACTCATTACTTGGACTTTTTGTTTTTTTCCCCTCTTTAATGCAGTATGTACATTTTCCTTTACGAAAAAAATCGACTATGCTTTCAGATGTGCATTTGATTGTGTGCTCTGACAATGCACTCATCACTAATTATATCTCTTCCTCCACAGAGCGGCAAGTTTTTCTTGCTACATGGAAAGACATTCCTAATGACAGTGAGGCCCAGTTTCAGATCAAAGACTGTCATCTCAGCTCAGGTAAGAAGGATGGTTGGAGAATGGAGAGTGCACTTGCTTAAAAAAAATCCTATCCAGACATATTCAGTAGCTTCTGTAGCCAGCACAGTCCACAGCTCAGAATCAGATCCTCGGTAATGAAGCAAATTGTATTTGATGGGAACTCATCAGCTGCAGTCCCTATTTATGTGTGATAATTTAGTTTTACACAAGTGTGAGAGCAGCTGAACTGGAGAAGAATTCCTAATGATGGCCTAATGGAGATTTTCCCCCCCAAAGATTAAATTTCATCCTGATGAACATAGAGAGAGCATTTCATGTCCTGCTTGGGCACAAGAGTGAGACGATGGCTGAGGGGAAAATTCTAAATGAGTGGCTGCGTCTCTGTTGCACTGACAGCCTGGAGTGAAATTTTAAGAAATGGAAATAAAAGAAATCCGTAATGATTTGGTGCATTTTAATAATGGTTTTAGTCGCTGATCGTGGCAGAAGTCGGTGAGTAACTCCATATTAAGTAATTGCTAAACTAGATTAAACCTGCAATTTAAGAGTGTTTCATTATGCTTCCTCTACAGATGCAGCCTCTAACAAACTGCAGGGTAGCAACATCTTCACCATAGCCAAGCGCACAGTGGACGGTCAGGACATGCTGTATCAGTCCATGAAGCTCACCAATGGCATCTGGGTGCTGACTGAGATGAGGGTGCAGGCAGGAAACCCAGTCTACACAGTGAGTACTGCTGCCCTGCTGCCTGTGCTGTGGTGCTTACTCATGACCAGGAATATGGCTCCTTTCAATATTTTGATGTTGACAGTAAATTATCACAACTACAGCATATTCATGGGCATTTTTTCTGCTAAAGATGGTCCTTGTAACCTGTTCTGGGATGATGATGATGATGATGATAATGATGATGATAATAATGATAATAATAATAATAATAATAATAATAATACATTTTATTTATAGGCGCCTTTCAGACCCTCAAGGTCACCTTACAGTAGCACGTAAACAATACCATAAAAAACATAAGAAAAATGTGTATATATAGCAAACATGGTAGATAGAATCTAGACATAAACAGTCATAAAAGTCTAAAAGCAAATATAAAAACTGAGCAAGGTAAAAATGGCCTAAGACAGATCTAAGACAGATCAGGTGTATGCAATTCTAAACAGATGGGTTTTGAGTAGTGATTTAAAAGTGGTGAGACGGTGTGTGTGGTCCGTAGAGCAAGTGGAAGTGCATTCCAAAGTCTCGGGGCAGAACAACTAAAGGCTCTGAGTCCCATGGTAGTCAGGCGAACAGGTGGAACAGACAGAAGGGAAGCTGAAGAAGAGCGGAGTGTACGAAGGGGTGAGTATGTATGGAGAAGATCGGATAGATATGGAGGAGTAAAGTCATGAAGCTCCTCAGAGACAAATTGACATGGAGGTGAACTGGGAGCCAATGGAGCTGTTTAAGAACAGGCATTATATGTTCAGTGGATCTAGTTCTGGGAATAATACGAGCAGCTGTATTTTGAACCAACTGCAGTTTATGGAGGGATTTATGAGGTAAACCATAGAGAAGAGAATTACAGTAATCCAGACGAGATGTGACGAGCATTGACAAATATGGCGGTACTGTGTGGTGTGAGTGAGGGACGAAGGCGGTTAATATTACGGAGAAGAAAGTAGGAAGACTGAGTGATATTATTTATATGTGCTGTGAAGGACAGAGTGCTATCGAGAATGACACCAAGACTCTTAACCTGAGGGGAGGGTGTGACAACAGAGTTATCAGTGGATAACGAAAGACTGGTTGGAACTGTAGTCAATTTTGATCTGGTGCCTATTAAAATGAATTCTGTTTTATTGCCATTAAGTTTAAGAAAGTTGTGAGAAAACCAGACCTTGATTTCACTTAAACAGTCAGAAATGGATGTGGGTGGGAGAGTAGCTGTGGGTTTGGAGGATAGGTAGAGCTGGGTGTCATCTGCAAGCAGTGAAACTGGATGTTATGCTTCCTAAAAATATTACCTAGGGGTAGGAGATAGATGATAAAAAGTAAAGGACCCAGGACAGAGCCTTGGGGTACACCGGAATTAACTGGAGTAGATACTGATCTGTGAGGGAGTAATTGAACAAACTGTGAGCGGCCAGAGGGATAAGAAGTAAACCAGGCGAGTACTGTACCATTGATGCCAATAGATGCTAATCTGTGAAGGAGGATGCAGTGGGAGATGGTATCGAAAGCTGCTGTAAGGTCAAGGAGAATGAGGATGGATATAAGTCCAGAATCAGCTGCAAGCAAAAGATCATTGGTGATTTTTACTAGGGCTGTTTCTGTACTGTGACATGAACGGAAGCCGGACTGAAACTGTTCGTACAAGTTATTTCCAATGAGATGATGATGAACCTGTGCAGCCACTATCTTTTCAAGAATTTTTTTTCTAGGAAAGGGAGATTTGAAATTGGCCTGAAATTATTTAGATTGGAGGGATCTGAACCATTCTTTTTCATTATTGGAGTTATTATTGCAGTTTTAAGAGAAGAAGGAACAGAACCAGATATAAGAGAGGAGTGTACGATATTAGCAATCAGTGGGGCAAGAGACGGGAATGAGAGTTTAACAAGATTTGTTGGCAGTGGATCAAGTTTACATGATGATGATTTTAAGTTAGTAATTATGGAAGATAGCTGAGTTATTGTGGGAAGTTCAAAATTGGATAGAGAGGATGACAGTTGAGAAGGACAAAAAATGCAGATAGAACAATTGACCATTTCACAGGACGAGGGCAATTGTTGATGAAGATTCTCAATCTTGGTGTAAAAAAACAAACAAAAGAAAAGAAAAGAAAAGAAAAAAATCCATAAATTTGTTGCAAACTGTGGCAGAGCATGTATGTATCGCAAAGGTATCTGGGGGTTTAACAATATTATGCAATATAGAAAACAAAGTGCGAGTGTTTCCTTCAGCAGATTCAATAACAGAGGTGTAGTAAGCAGGTTTAGCATGATGAATAGCTTCTTTATAGTGTTGTATATGACTGAGATACATGTCCTTGTGAATAGTAAGTCCTGTTTTCCTGGAGAGACGTTCTAGGTGGCGTCCAGTAGCTTTAAGTTGGCGAAGTTCAGATGAGTACAATGGCGCAGAGTGAGAGAAAGAAACAGTTCGAGTTGCACCAATTAAAAAATAAAAACATGTAAATTGTATGGTAAATGACCTATTTTACTTTTTTTTTATTTATTTATTTTATTCATACTTGTTGTCACATAATGTTTTTCAAATTTACTTTGTAAATGCTTCTTTTAAATGAACCAGATTTTAAAGAACTGCTTGTTTCATATACAGTAAGGCAGTATTATGCAAGCTAATTTGACTAAAAAATAGTCCTATTCCCCAGATATTCTAAGCTTTGTTGGAAATTTGATGGTGCTGTAAATGTCCCATTTTCTAAAGAAGCTCTATTATTACATTTATTCACATTAATGTTATTGGGCAGCTGTAATTGATGCCCTCCATAATAACTGAAAATTCCCATTTTGTTATGTTTTGAAATATTCATAACTGATGAATCAGACAGACTTGTCTATCAGCCACATCCTGAATTCTCACAGTCATAAATAACGCCGTAAAGAGTGAATCCTCCGATTTGCACTTTTAGCAGAAATTAAAGCCCGGTTAGAAAATTAAATCAGTACAATGGAGTTAAATAATAGTGGGCACTGCATATTACAGATGGAGACAAATGACATTAATATCAGATCTGACCAAGCAGAGATGTGACGGGGATTAATGTGAAGTACTGAGCAGTCGATGTGCACTAGGGACAGGGATTGGATGGCGATGTGTGGTAGTGGGAGAAGTTTGCCTTCGGGCTTCCTGTCAGACAGCTTTTTTTTCTTTTTTGCTTTTCTTTTTTTTTCACTTGTAGTTTGATTTAGGTTAGGTAACAAAACCGCTCGGGCGGGTTCAGGAAAAGATTGGTTTGGGGCAAAATACACCGTTTAAAACTACGTCTGACCGACACGAACTGGTCTGAGGGAAGCAAACTTCTCTGATGTGCGTGGAGGGCTGTGGAAAAACACTGGCTATGACTTACCCGTGGTGACTCATCTGTGTGCGCATACATGTGTTGTTGTGCAGTTGTAGGGTTAATTGTTTGTGTGCTGTGTTGTTGCATGTGTCTTGCTTTGTCAGCACGCTGCAGTCGCCACTCTTGATGGATTGTTTTTGGCTTAGAAATTCTGTATAACTCGCCTAGAACGATGACCTTGGTGTGACTCTCCTCCCTGCTCATCACTCAGTCTGCTTTCAGGTCATGTTTTATGTATAAGGTGGCATTAACTGTCTTTTTGTTTTCTTCTGTCTAGACTAGGCAATTTGTTAGTTGCGTTAAAGTCTCAGAATTTTGAGGTGGTTTTACACCTACCACGGTTAAGCCTCTTTGGTCAGATCACATCCTGATGTGATACAGGACAAAATGTGACTGAAACGGGGAAAGCAGAACGGGTTTGTTTTCTACCTTGTACCCTCTGATCTCCACATGGTTTCTCGGTGTGACTGTAAGTGCTTTTAACAAACGTATATTCAGCAACGATAGGACCAGACTTTAAAGTAAACCACACGCACAGTATGTATCCTGACGTTCGTCCCTCGGAGCGACTGCCTGCTGCACAGGCCCCGCGCTCTCTTGGCACAGAACATTAAAGCCAAGCTGCCAAAGCCTTTTGTCGGCAGCTATTTTTAGACCCGAAGAAGCAAAGCCGTAACACTGTTTTCTGGGTTCTATTGCACGTCTGAAGATGAGACATGAAACTGTTCTAATTCACTGACATTAGTAGACACGTATGGTGACATGCTTGAGTTTTGCTGCTGCTTACACATGCAGTTTTTAAGGGTTGAACATAGCTGCCCTATTTTCCTCCTATCTTAAAAGTTGATTAGCTTCAGCTCTTCTATGACTCTGTGTCCCAATTCCACATCCCATGCTGCTTCCTGCTCGGTTTTATTCTACGCTTCACTAACAATGGAAAAGTGAGTACATACTGGAAGCCGTGTGTGTGGAACAGTGTTTTTTACATAGTGGAACAGTGCTAAGAAGTGCTGAAGTGTCCTACACAAGCCTAGGAATGATTATGCGCACTAAAGCAAATCTACCTGCAAATTGGCAGCATTGTAAATGTAGCATTTGAGCTGAGGGTAGCACATTAAGGTGTTAATTCTTTATATGAGCAACATCACAGTCTATTGTGTGTTGTCAAATTGTTTTCAGAGTGTATTTTGCCATCTTGCCATTATGGCAGCTGTGGATTTAGGAAATTGTCTGTCGCTCCCAGATTTCATTAGCCTGGGAATCAGACAAATCTGAGAGCTCATGCTTCATTTTCTCTGGCACAGTGTGTCTCGCCCCCTCACCCGTTCACTCAGATTTCCACTCACTGTTACCAGTAATGGTGGCCTAATTATAGCCATTTTTGATAATGCGAGGTGGCTTTTATTTGATGACCAGCATCTTTGCATGCTGCATCTTGTTTGTTTTTCCATCGCCAAGTCCCGTGTCATACGTTTGGCAGTGTTGTAGATTGGTCCACTTCCTGCATTTAGGTCCGTGTTTGTTGGCAGTGCAAGTTCAAAACTGAACTGAGATCGCAAACAGGTTTGTACCTGCGTTTCTCATCCGACACCAAGCTGACATTCTCATTTGACTCTCTCAGTTAGGCTCGTGTACACTTTACCGTACTTACAGTGGCGAATAGGGATGCTGCTCATCTTTTTGACATCACGCATGGTCTTCTCATCTGCCATGTCCTGTCCCCATGGCAACAATGTGACCAGTGTTGTGGGCTGACTTATTTATTTATTTTTTCTTCTACCCACCACTTTAGCTGGTAAATCTGAGGGGTTTTGGTAAATAGAGAAGTCTGCTGAAAACGAAACACGTGAGCAGTTTCTCAACATAAACGTGGATGAAGAGTTTTCTTAAAAATCTATAATCAGAATTGCAGAATCTCTAATAGAAGGGTTTGTGTATGTCACTTTGATACCATTATGGGTAGCATTATAAATCAATGCAACAGACTGCTGAATTATTTTGGAGATTTTACATGAATATTGCATCTAAAATCAAATTATTTAGATAGAATTTTATTTCAAACATGCAAAAATAACTGAAATAACAAGAGGAAAAAACTTAAAAATCATCAAGTTTTCATGTGTATATTTATGTCTACAGAATGTGTGTGCTCGAAAAGGAGTAGGATGAAGTTTACACTTTTCCTCTTCCTACCCCCTTATTTCAAATTTCATTGCTTACTAATCCATATCCAGAATTCAATTTTATTTGATCCATACATGTTTAACTATGTACAAGTCTAACACATCGAACATACACAAATAAAACCGTTTTCAGCACATAAACCAAAATAGTAACAAACTACATTTTTACATAAAGTAATCACCCTGTGTTTTTGTTAAGTAGACGTACATTTCAAAGATGAGCTACAGTTTCATTATTTTATTTTTCCAATGCAAAGAACTGCTGGGCACATCTGCACATGCGTTCAGTTCATCTACATCGGAGCGTCAGTGGGGCACGGGTTGCTGGTCTGCTTTTGCTTTGAATGTTTTTGTTTTACTTGTTTCAGACTGTGAATTTGTCAATAAATACTCAGCTCACCGACTCCACTATTAGAAAAACAGCCTCAGACATTCCCATCTCTCCTGAACCCTCAGTGCAGTCTGGTTTGGGTTTTTATTTTTCATCTCCGGCCTTTTCCCCACACAAACCTGCTACCAGCACTGATGTAGATTAAATGGGTACATCTTGGAAAACAAAAATCCTCAGACAGTGTTTGTCTTTCTGTGCATTTTTTCCCCTATTTTCTTTGAGCTCATGAATGGCTTCCACCATGCTGTAACCTTACCTGCTGATTCTGGCCTGTGTGCTATGTTGTATCTGATCATTGTTGTTGATATCTAAAGAGAACCTTTTTTTCTCCTCCGTTTTATTCACACTTATGCAAATATCCAATCTGCTGCTGTTCTGTCTGGGTCTGCCTTCTGGTCTCACTCACAGTCCTCCTCTTACAGCTTTTTGATAAAAAATCTATCTATGGAGGATGGATGACATTTGCAGACGTAAGAATTTCCACACATCAATTTGAAATAATCTTCTGCTGAGCTTTTTGAACCTTTGACCAAAACCCCTGTACAACAACTTGGAGTTTAAAGCCCAGTTGTTTTGTTTTTCAGCTCTTTCATATCAAAGTATTTAGACGTGAGCATTTCATACGAATTTCAAACTTAATTGCAACACAACAACAGTTTTACTTTAATGTTCTTGCCTTTGATTGAAGCGGATATGGCACAGTTTGATTAGTGTTCCATGTAAAAATCGTTTTCTTACACTCGCTGGCCAATTCATTAGGTACATCGGTTCAATTATCCATTAATGCGAATATCAATTAGCCAATCACATGACAGCGACTTGACGCATTTAGAAGTATAGATGTGGTGAAGACGACCTTCTGAGGTTCAAACTTAGCATCAGAATGAAGAAGAAAGATGATCTGAATGTGGTATGGTTGTTGGTGCCAGACAGGCTGGTTTGAATATTTCAGAAACTGCTGGTCTGCTGGGATTTTCCCACAGAAGCATCTCTGAGACTTGGCTGAAAAATATTCAGTTAGCAACAGTTCTCTGGGCAGAAATACCTTGTTGATGTCGGAGGAGAATTGCCAGACTGTTCGGAGCTGATTAGAGGGCAACAGTAACTCAAATATCCACTCGCTACAACCAAGGTATGCAGAAGAGCATCTCTGAACCTACTATGGATTATAGCAGCAGAAGGTGCCACTCCTGTTCGCTAAGAACAGGAAACTGAGCAGGTTTGCACAGGCTCCTGAAAAATTCCACAATAACTGATGGGGGAAAAATGTTGCCTAGTTTGAGTCTCAATTTCTGCTGCAACATTCAGATGGTAGGAGTCAGAATTTGGTAGAAACAACATGAAAGTGTGGGTCCACAGTTCAGGCTGCTGCCGGTGCATTGATGTGGAGGATAGTTTCCCGGCACACGTCGAGTACCAACTGAGCGTTATTTTCAAACGGCCTCCAGAGTCATCAGATCTCAGTGCAGTAGAGCAGCTTTGGGATGTCGTGGGATCGGAGATTTGTGTCACGGATTTGCAGCAACTGTGTGACGCTGCCATGTAAATATGGATCAGAAACTCTTGACGAATGTTTCCAACCTTTTGTTGAATGTTACTGTTCTTTTAACAACTGTTGCTAACAATGTATCTAACATTTAAACAGTCTCGGTTATTTTAAATAGTTCAACAGTCCACATGCTTTATGAAGACAGGGTTTTTATCATACTGTATCAGTCTGTCTTTGCTTTGCCTTATTGCAGTGCTGCTGTGCTTCATCACGGTGTAGTGGCTCCAAGTCTCCTTTATGCAGGTTTTACAGCAGATCTGCATCATTTTCAGACTCATTAATTACTCCAAAAAAAGCACATCCTGCTGGTATTTATGCAGTGTTATGTAAAGCCTAAGATTGTCTTGAAGAGTGATCTCCCCCTCTCACTCAGTCCATCAATAATAGACACAAAGATGTATTTTTCTTCCATTTCCTCATCCGATAAAACAAACATTTTAGCAGCAGGCTCTTGGCTGCAGACTCGAACACTGCAGTTTCTCGCAGTTGCTCTCTAACCAGCGGCTTGTTCACAGTGGCTGGAGCTTCTGCGTTTCTTCACATCTTCCTGATAGGAGCGTCTAAATGTTGCCAGCAGCAGCATGCATTAATAAAGAGCCTTGAGTGTACCAGTGCAGCACTGAAGGAGCTGTGCACTGTTACTGCTTCAGCTGACTGCAGCAAGCATTCCACACTCCATCACCTGCCTTTGATATTAATATTCAGAGTCATAGAAGGGGCCTGGTGTGAAATTCCCATCAGTCACTCATCAAATTCATTACTGATCGTTTTAATTATAATAATGGTGCCAAGTGTCAAAGTGTTTGCTGTGTAGTGTTGGTGCACCGAAGAAAAAACAACGGTGAAATGATAAAATGTTAGAGAAGCTCGGGTCATCCTGTCCTTTTAGAATAAAGCACACAGATCCATTACTCGTATTCAGGTACAGATTTAAAAGCAAAATTTTAAAATGCAGGATTAATCTGGACACAACACTCCAGGATTTAATTACTTATCTTCGAGTGCCGTTTTGTATTTGTCGCTGGAAACTAGAGTCACCTGGGGTCGGCGCTTATTGTAGGCGTGCTCGCCATGTGACCTTCAGACTATTCCAGCTCCACTCTAGCGGAACAAATGTGATTCTAAGAAATGACAGTGATTAAAGCCAAAAGGCTCGCACTCTGATGATTTGTGAGCGCCGTCAGGGCAAGAAGAATGCAGGTTATTCTCTTCACTATGCCTTTTCGCAGAGACGTGGGGGTTATTAAGGGTTCCACTCGTCTTAGGAGAAAGCGCGGCTGGTTTTCACTGCGCACCAATTAATTAGCAAAACACTTTAGATTATTCAGAATCACTGTCTTTTGCAATTATTACACTATTTTCTTTGTGTGCGTGTGTGTGTGTCCGTCCTGCAGCTGCCTTATGCTGCCTGTAAATAGTGTATTTCTGGATCTGAGGAAGTGACATCTGCAGAGTGATTGCAGTAAGATGGGGTGGAGGGTGGGGGGGCACTTTGTGAAGCTCCATCTAATCCTAAACCTCCTCCCAGCTGAGACTGACATCAAAGAGAGAAGAAGCCTTCTCTGTTTTCTCCTGAGTGTATATGTTTCTGTGTGTACGTCTGTCTGTGCTTTATAAGACTGAATGTGGGTGGGGGTAGGAGTGGGTGTCATCTGAGGCCTTTTTCCTTATAAGGTGGGAAATTAGGAATTTAATCTTCTATAAGTATAAAAGATGAGGTCATTTATTCACCATAAATCCAGGAATCTGGAGAAATGTTATGTGAAGTTGCCCGATGAAGATATCAGCTGAACAGCAAAGATTTAAGATCAAACAATAAGTTATCGCCTTTCCTGAGGTGCTTTATATAACCCGCAGCAGGCCTTTAAAAACCTGCTTTTTGTTCATGCGTCAGTCAAAGCACTGCCTGCCAACAGACTGCTTTATAAATCAAATCATGCTCACCCTAACTTGTCTCCCTCAGGTCTCTCTGAAGTGCAGAGCTGCAGAGGTTTCCCAGTGGGTGTTCCAGAGCTACGAGGCGGTGCTGAAGAACTGAACAAACAAGCCCGTGCATCCACCCAGCCGCAGCCCTTGCAGACTACCATCTCTCTCTCATTCTCTCTCGCCTGACCCACGAACCACATCACAGCCTCACGCAGTGCCGGGAGCCGCTTCCCGCTGCGTTCGGTCGGGACACTGCGGTCCTCATGTTACCCAACCATTTCATCAGGATGGTTAATGGGTCTATCGGCCCTTCCTTTCTTGCTTGCTTTCTTCCTTTTTTCCCCTCCAATGCTGCAGAGAGATGTGGTTCACTCTCTTGGCTGCCCTTATCCTGTCCCCATCTTTGTTCACACCACATTCTTCGGTTTCAGGAAATCATCCCACATCCCCTGTTCTCCCCTGTCCGAGCCATCCTTAAACAATCTTTATTCGTTTCTAGGGGTGGGGGGCAGACGGCCGTGAATGTTTCTCTGCATGAGGCTCCTTTATCATTTTCAAGCCCTGCTTTTTTTCTCTCGCTCTCTCTCTCGCCCATATATATATATATATTGGAGTCTATTTTTAGCACCTGTGATCAGCAGGTGAATCATCACTTTCACCATATTTATTTAGGGGTTAATTTCAATTAAGATGTCAGACAGGAGAGGCTTTGACTGTATTTTAGCTTCTCTCTGGATCTTAATAGAGCCACATAATTACATCTAAAAAAACCCATTACACTATTGTTTTTGTCTTTTATAGTTTTCTTTTAGTATCTGGTTATCAGGGGGCTCGTCATCTGTCCCCGAAAGCAGAATGTGTGTTTCCGTGTGCATGGAAACTGTGTGTTACTGCGTGTTTAATTTTTCATCAACATCGCAACATTTTATAGACTAGCAGCAGTTGTCCTCGGACTACTCTCTTACTCGGTCATTCCATGGTTAAATTTTTGTTCGTAGTCTTGTTTAGCGCACATGCTGCAAACTGGGAGAGAGGCTCAGGTGGCGAGAGTTTTATAAGTGTCGGCGCTCTCTGCGTCAGCAGCGCTGGCCACCCCGGGCTCTCTGCCACTTTGCTCTCCGTGTATCCACGCTGCAGCTCTCTCGAGGTCCAAGCCTTACCTGACATGAAGGCTCAGGTGGAAAATAAAGCAAAACAGCTGATGCCATAGTTTGTAACACTTCTGAGTCACAAGCGCACATGTAGGTAGCAGGCAGCGTTCGCTAAAACAAAGCTGGATCAACATGCGGCGTCTCTGTTTGAGCTGCAGGCTCCGCTGATTAATTGGATTCCTTTTAGCGAGCTGTTACAGACTGTACCGGCTCTACAGGATCAGCACGGAGGCTGTGTATTCTGAGTGTGTGTCTTTGTGTGTGATGCAGCTGATACTTATGACATGATGTACAAAAAAATCAGATGTTTAATCAGATGTTTGTTTTTTTCATTGTGTGTACATCATTTGAAGAACCATTAAAAGTCTTGATTAATTCACGTGTGTGTGTGTGTGGTTGTTTTGTTTTTTTTAAGCAGTTGTATATTGTCACAGATTCAGTGTTAAAAATGCAGATTTTTTTTCCCCTTTCCTGTTGATGCTGAAGTCCCAGTGTTAAAGGATGTGAAACATTATCTCAGTTTTATTTGCCCCCCTCCCGCCCTCGAGGACCTGGAAATCGATGTGCACCATTTTCACACACACACCATAATCGTTGATGACCTTTGCAGCATTCAGCGCTTTTCTCTCTGGGCGCCACAGCTCTGCTCTGGTGTTGTTGACCGAACGGTGTCCGCAGCTTTGCACACAGAAGTCAACAGACTCAGTTGTGCTCAGCCTCAATCCAGCAGTGAAATCTGAGGTTTATCCGTCAGTGCACCCTCCTTTTCCTGAAAGTCCAACCTGCTTTGGAAAGCTTAACCAAGATTTCCTCTGCATGATCCAATTGTGGTCACAAGCACTTCTCAGCTCGAATCTCTGATTGCGTGAATCATAAGGTCAACAGAAATCACTAACCAGAGCAAAGTGAAGCTGTGAACAGTGTCAGACTTTCTTCTGCTGCTGTAATGAATGATCCATAATATTGATCCTGTTACTTTACTGTCTTTTAGTAAACGTCTCCTCTCTATGAGAGCACAGTCATTAACTACCAAATCACAAATGTAAGTTGTGTTACTAGCAAAATCACAGTATTTTATCTCTTAAATAGATTTTCTAAAGTGTTGGGAGGAGAAATCCCTTCTTTTAAACTCAGTTCTTTTCTTCTTCTTTTTTCTTTTAAATGTATCCAGATCACTTCCACTATTTATGGTCGGTCCAGGAGTGTCACACTCATTTTAATGTCGTGGACTCAGTTTCAGTGAAGCTATTTGCTCTAAACTGTTCACCTTAGTTTGATTGTAAAAAAGTTTAAATACATGTTTAATTTCTGAGCTCTCTTAAGAGATAAAGAAGTGCAATTAAAGCAGCAGGTCTTTATTTATTTATTTTTTCAATCTTATAAAGAAATCTTGCTGTGGAAAATCAAACTGCCTGGGATTACACTGTAAGAAATAGAGGTCTTTATCCTAAAGTTAAAAAAAAACAAAACAACTGTCACCACCAGAAAATGGTGTTAAAGATGGTGGAAAAGGAACATTTCTGTTATTAAACACTAACACCAACAACTAAAATAAACCTCCATTCACTTAATGGTTTATCTACTACTTTGGCATATGGGGTTACATCTGTCAGTAAGAAGATTGAAACGGATGAAGAGACAGTTAAAGGTGTAAAATGTATGTCCTGCTTTTTAGAACTTTCCACATTTTCCAAAATGTAGCTGAGCTGAACAATGTGGCAGCTGGTTCTTATGTAGCGCTTTTCTACTCTGAGCACTCAGTGCTTCATACAACTTATCTCATTCTCACCCATCCATATAAGTCCTTTCTATCTAGCATTCATACAGCAGACAGCAACTTTGGTTGGTATCCTTCCAAGGATATTTAGTATGGAGTAGCCAGCGACCTGCTCCACCTCCTGATCTACAGCCACCCATCATCGGCTCTTATGTGTTCTGAGAGTAATCTCATACATTCGGCTTACTCTTTATCTTGACATTTTCCAGATTTGGCATTTATCACTCGGTGGCAGCACGTCTATAGTCCTCATTTGTGATGTTTGATCATCGATTTTCTGATAAAACATGTTTGGAAAGACAAAAATATCTTTACCACCGTAACAACATACTGTAATTTAATTTAGCTTTAATCTCCTTGTAACACATTTAAATGTGGATTTATTGAGCTTTTTCTTTGAAATATTCTGTTTAAATAACGTTCTTCCCTAGTGTCCTTTTTTAAGACATTTGTTCTGTGATATATTTATTTTATTCAGCCAAGTTGTTTTTCATATTTTAGCTGCTGTAACACGGTCAATTTCCAGCTTTCAGGACCAATAAAGCTTTTATTTTATGTTCATTAAAGTAACTCAAATGCTTTCTACATATTTTAGGCTGCCGAGTTGTCAAACATCTCCTTGGCTGATATTTAACCAACTTCAGCATGTGACACTTGCTTTGTTATTTTTAAAGGTCCTTTATGTAAATACCCTTTCCAAATTTCCACTAAAACTTTCACCATCGGGGGCATTGTTACCAGTGAGTATGCAGTAAAAGCTTCTGTTCTTTTAACTTTTGATATTTCTTTTTAACTACTCCCATTTCCTCAAGAGCCTTCGCCTATTTTCCATATGTCTGTCTTATTAGTACCTTTACACATTTCACCAGTAAAACCCTAGAAATTTTGCTCCAACTGATTTGCATTCAGACATGTGTAAGTAAAAAAAAAAACCCCACCAACAATAGGTTTGGAAAACTGGATCTAAAACGCTGTACTTGTTAATAATAAGAACTAATCTGCAGAGGTGTGAACTAAAACATGCAAACTTGAGGTGCAGAGGTGAAACGTCTTCAAGCAACTCGAAGAAGTCCAGACGCTTTTCTTTCCAAGCTCCTTAGACTACGATGACCTGGATGAGTGAGAACCTTCACAGACATAAAACATGCAAACCTTTCACAGAACAGTCTCACACTTCTCTGGAGCTCATCTCAGTTATTCTGAGGAACCATAAACTGAATTGCGTTTATTGCTCAGCTTTGTCTGTGGTGCTCCGCTGTCAGCCGTGATTGATTCGAACACATCGCCCCTCGCGTGCCCCGGGACCCTGTCCGGTCATAAGTCACCTCACAGGTATGATGTTCAGTCCTGCGCCGCCTCTCCGTGACCCTGGCGCGGAGATGATGTATAGTGTGTGGCCTCTTCCACAGCTATTTGTTTGCGGCGTATGGGAGCTCAAAGCTTTCGCACGCCTTGTGCACTACGTGATCCTATTGGACGAGCGGGGCAGTGGATATTGCAAATGATGATGGAGAGAGAGGGGGAGAGAGAGGGGAGGAGGTGGAGAGCTCCCGTCTTTCCAACGGCAGACACGCAGCGCTCCTTAAGACTCCAGATGCCTTTACAGAATACGCGCCGCTGTTTTCTGTGCGAGTTGCCTCTCCTGTCTTAAATCGATCGTTGTGTTATCGAAAACCAGAAGATTATGGGGATCGCGTATTATGCGGGAACACGTGGAAAGCTTATGAGACGAGCGGCTGCGCGCCCGTCCTCATTGTGATGGGGGAGCGCGGTGGTGCATCGCTGGGGATGAGTGAGAGGTGCGGAGGAGATAATCAACGAAGACACTGAGAGCTGTGCGTTTGGACAAGGTCATCGGAGCCCAGCCTTGGCAGGATTATGTCCATGTGGAGGCGGCAAGGGCGGACTTTTATGCTTCCTCTCCGGGGACGAGGTTGCCTGGGGTGTCCCTTGAAAACCAAGAGTTTCTCTCCTTGCGTTGGCTCACAGAGGCGGCGAAGAGCCCATCTATTGGTGGCTGAGCTGTATTTTTGACTATCTGCGTGTCTTGGAGATAAAAGTTTCCCCGCTCTGCTCGACGGGTGGGTGCTCTATTCTCCCACCGACTCTTCTATTGAACGCAGCTGAAGCCAGTTAAGGTGATTTAGTGGGTGCTGGTTAAAGGGGCAGCGGCGGCGGGTGGGTTGAATTCCACCAGAGAAACAGCAAGAAAAAAAAGAAAAGAAAAAAGACAAAATAAAGATTTATTTTTTAAAAAGCGGCGGCCAGCTGTGTTTCTGGACTACCACATCTGCCGTTGTTGTCGCCGCTGTCCATGGTGCTGAACTCGGGCTCCAGGAATGGTGGAGACGCTGAGTATCGCAGTGATCGGTGCTCCCGGAGTGGGGAAAACTTCTATAATCCGCCAGTTCATCTATAACGACTTCTCGGAGGTGTACACGCCGACCAGGACCAGATATGTGTACAGACCCTCCGTCATACTGAACGGGAACATGTACGAGCTGAAGATTTTGGACGTCCCGCCGATCTCTTCTTTTCCATCAAGCTCCAGTCAGGTATCACGTCTCTGTCTCGGGAACTTTATCAGAGGAGGATTTAGACAAGCTTAGAGAGGAGGGGGTCCATTCTCTGATTGAACCCGCTTCTCATTTATTTAATCACTGCTTAATCTTACAAGTGCCCGTCTGTTCACAGCCGCTAACATCCCTCAAAGGCAAAAACACCAATTTTATTTATTCCTCTTTCAGTATCAGATGTCCCTAGTCTACTAGTTGCTATGGAGACCTGGCTGACTTAAAGCCTAAGAGCTTTGGCGTTTTTAAACTCTCTTTGTCTCTGTCTTTCAGCCCGTTTATGAAGACAATATGCAAACTTGCAATATGCAAACTTGCATATTGTTATGTGTTAATCATAACATGTCTTCTACACACTTCTAAGAAACAGCAGTGCTGCTGCTGATATTTGTGTTGATTCTGCAGCATTGTGCTTCCGGCATGGCCACAGCACCTGGTTAAAACTCCCTTTTTAAAAATAGAGTAGACTGCCCTTTTATTCCTGACCACAGGTCAGATGCCACCCCTCATTAGATGGAGGCACATCTGGTCGCAGGATCATAGCAAGATGAAAAAGCACTGTGAATGCTGCGGCTTTGCAGTCACTTTTTTGGAGCAGATTTTTGTTTTTCTTTATTTCTTGACAAGAATCAGAGGTTCTTGAAACAGTCCTCATGTGGCCATACTGAAAGCATTATTAGATCCTCTAACTTTTTTCACCTTCCCGCCTTACAGATCCTTTATTAAACAGTCACAACCAAGGAGGAGACCCACAGAGGCTTCAAAACACCACAGACTTCTGAACCTCTGTTTTCAAAAACACAGCCAGTAAAAAATAAGAACAAAAAACCAGAACCAAGGATGTGGGAGAGCTGCTTCACCTGCTTCTTCAGCCTCCTCTAAACACGGGCAGGGCTGCCTCTGTCCAGTAGTATCATGTGAACAAGAAGAGATGAGAGTAGAGGGGAGCTCAAGAAAACACAGAGGTGCTTATCATGCAGTGCCAAACTAAGTGATGGGTGACGAACTCTACAGCCCTGATTTTGTGTAAAAAATACATTTTTGTGAGGCTTCAACTGTCTGAATCAGTCTAGGGGATAATCTTTTAAATCCTCTTTGTGTTATTATTCCGCTTACCTTGTGTGAATCAGACGTATTAAGCATTGTTTTAGTTATTTTTTTACATGGAATGAGAAGTGCGTATTTTGGCCCTTGACACTTAGAGTGAAATCGCATTAAATCCTCTCTTTATTGGAAAGACATCAGCTCTCCGCTTTCCTTTCCCTCTTAGTGGCCAAATGTGGAGAGTAGGATCTGTTACAGCAGCTGAAATCCTTCCAATCTACACATGAGCATGTGAGAACTGCTTTAATATCGCCTTAAAAATGTGACTCTATCCCTCGAGACAAATGATCCCCTTGTTAAAGTCCTCTTTGTCATTTTTCCCAGCCCATTAAGTTGCTGAATATAATGCGTCCCTCTCTTCGTATGCATGTGTGCGGTGCTTGAAACGGCGCATCCCACTGCAAGTCTCTGCTGACGCGAGGCACGTGTTTGACTCCTGTCCACTGTGACCTCATTGGAAAGACCGAAATCTCCAAGGTCACCACAGCAAAGCCATTGATTTGCTGCTGCTGACTGTTTCTCTCCTTCCCTCCCTGTCGGTGTCACAGATAGGCCTCCCAAGAACAGCTGCGGTTATCTACCGCCGGCGAAAGTGCCACTGAGAAAATGAGATCAAGCCAAGCAGGAGACAACAAAAGCACAACGAGAAAGAGAGACCTCCCAAAGTGCTGGTTTTCTGTGCGCTCACAAAGCTGCGGCGTTAACACAGAAAACATCTGACAGGGCAGAGCAATCATCTTGTCGGAGTTATACAAAGCTTCCCTACTAGATTTAACATTTTATTGGAAGGTGTTAAGAGTTCTGCAGACTGCTTACGCTACAGATTCCTGCTGGGAAGGCACTGAGTTTCCTTTTTTCCAGCTAAAGTGCTTTGAACTCCCATTAAGCAATAAGCAGGAGCAGCTGCAGGAACAGGGGACGAGGTGCATCTGATGAGTTCAAGTGTCTCAAAGGTTGAGTTACATTTGAGGGGTTTCCTCCTCATTTGATTGTCTTTGGTTAAACATTTCATGCTAATGTCAGAGTGGTGGTGCAGGCTCTTTGTCGAAGGTATACCAGCAGAGAAATCCATTAGCTGAGTGCTGCCACAACATTTCCATCTGACAGATTTACGGTTACTCATTTGCTAAGGAACAACACCTGGAAGGCCCGCTGTGCTTTGTCTCGCTCGTTCTTGCTTCCTCTGGTGCTTCATCCTCTATTCACAGCGAGAGACACGGGGCATTTTCGAGTCACTGCCCTCATCTGCGTTTAACCCTGCGACCACAGAAATGTAACGTGGATCAGGGGCAGTTGGATGTAATGAGGGGTGCGTTGAGCCAGCACAAAGAATCCTGATTGAATTTTACTTGCTGAAGACAGCAAATTAAATAAAAGCACACTTCACTGTTAGAATACAGTCGGGGAATAAGAGAGGAACAAAGCAGAGAGGGGAGGGAGAGAGCGGGAATTTGTTTTGGTCAATTAGAAAGTTTAATGGACACCGTTGAAGCCGGGGTGACCAAATGAGGTTTTATATTGTCCTATAAAATTTGTGATGAATAAGCTGCAGAATAGAGTGAGTCAGTACGCCTCCGCGCTGATGTAGCCCGGCAATTTCTCATCAGTTCAGATTATTTTATAAGAACAGCAGTGGCGTTCTAGCAGGCGACTTGTGACCTCATTTCAACAACATACAGAGACATTAAAAAATCTTTTTTTAATGCTGGAAAGAGGCGAGATTTGTATCATTTTTCCCGTGAAGCTGGGTCGGTGTAAGGATTTGTTTGCTTTGTGGCGTGTGTGTCTGTTTCTGAGAGTATTGCATTGAGAGAGCATCTGTCCTGGTGTGTCAATACGATGTGATGACAGATGGATTTAAGCGTGACAGAAGATTCAGCATGATTTTTTCTTGTTCTTTTCTTTTCTTTTCACTTTCTCTTCTTTTCCCTTTTTGTTCTTGCCATAATGTATCTCCATGACTTCCTCCCACACAAAATGCTCCGTCTCCTGCTCTCTTTGGGCATTTTTCTCAGCTATCTCTGTCAATACTTTCATATATAACAGCGAGGAAACTATCGTATTTCACGCTTGCAGATGCAGCAAGAAAGATGTGTGCGTCTGTGAAGTGTACATATCGGTGAAGCGTTAAGTGCTGACAGGATCTGGAAGTGAAACTGAGCACAAATGTATAATAATCATAGTGGATCATTCATTTTGAATTGCATTTAATCTGTTTTTGCTGATATATACACAAATATCATTATACTATCTGCAAAGGCACAGTTTTTGTAGTTTTCCCTGTGCACACCTTCACAGTTGATTTTAAATGAAACATCCAGAGGTGATAGAAGTGCAGACTTTTAGCCTTAATTCAAAGGGTTTAACAAAAATGTTGCATTAACAGTTCAGCAGTTACGGTTTATACACAGTCCCTCATTTTCAGTGTCTCACAGTTAGTTCTACATTCGATTGACGAGCGGTTTCATGGCCGGGTGAGGCACGTTCACTTGTTATTTCATAATAAATGAAGCAGATAGAATATCTGAAGTGTTGAATTTGTATTTCGTAGCTTTTCACCGAAATTTTAAATACGAGTCTCAAATAGATGTCGGTGCAAGTGAAAGACATCGTCACTGAAACAGCAAAATTATCCTCTCAGAGAGAGAGCAAAACTTCAGGATCGGCTAAATCAGCAATCTTTTATGCCGTTAAAAAAGAATAAATGCTCAGAAAAAACACAGAGGATGATTGCAGAATTATTTCCATGGCTAAAGAAACAATTTTATAGCACCTAACAAAATTAAGGATACTCTTAAGGAGGTAGGAGTATTGTTATCGAGGACTACAATCAAGAAACACCTTCATGAATGGAAATACAGAGAATTTACAATAAGGTTCACACAGTTACACTGAGGAACAGGAAGGCCGGATTAGAGTTTGACAGAAAACATCTAGATGATAAAAGATGAAACCAAGATTAACCTGTACTAACATAATAGAAGAAAAAAGGTCTTGAGGTCTTGTGACCAAGGCCTGCTGGCTGTCCAGCATACAAGGTTAAAAACTAAAGGTGACAGAGCGTTTGTATCTGTGGCTCCCAGACTCTGGAACTCTCTGCCATTGAGTTTGAGATCTGTGGACTCAGTCATTTCTTTTAAGAAGCAGTTAAAGACTTATCTTTTTAAAATTGGTTTTGGTTGACATTGGATGATGTATATTTTGAGCCTCTGTGAAGCACTTTGTGATTTAATCTGAAAAGGTGCTATATAAATAAAATGTAACTTTACTTACTAATAGAAGACAAAAGTATTGAGCATTAGAGAAAAGGTCATGATCCAAAGAATACCACGTAGAAACATATGCCTGGCAGGGGAACCAGGACACTTTGTTGGTGATGTAATTGCTGAGTGAAGCTGCAGGATTTACTGTGAAGTGTACGGGGCTACACTCTCTGCTCAGATTCAGACAGATGCTACAAAACCCATCGGGCAGAGTTTCACAGCACAAACGGAAAATGACCCAAAGCAAACTGTAAAAGCAACCGAGAGTTTGTCAAAGCAAAGAAATGAGATATCCTTGAATGGCAAGTCTTCACCTGATCTCAGGCCAGCTTTTCAGGTATTAAATACAAAACTCAGAGCAGAGATACTCACGCACAAGCAGCAGCCAAAGGCAGCTGTAAAAAAGGCCCTGCATCTCAAGCAAAGAAAGATAGCATTACCTGATGTCTATGGGTTCCAGACTTCAGGCTGCAAAGAATTAAACAAGTTAGCAACCCTTGTATTTGCACTTATATAAGAATAAAATTAAATCCATTATGGTTGTGTACAGTAGTGTAAAACCGTGCCCAACAAAATATGGACCAGACAAGCCTTGTAGAGATGACTCTAACAAGC